AGTCCGTGCACGCTGCCCGTACGCTGTCCGCACCCAACGCGCACGATCCTCCGCTGCAACCCGACGATCGAGACCGAGCCACCGTGCGACCGAACTGCGTTTGACGTGTCGATTAGAATCGACTAAAGGCCAAACCTATCTGCCCATTAGGTTTTGGTGTTCAGAAGAACTTCATCATCGGTACTCTACATCATCTCAGAGCCGGCAAAAATTTTTAAAGGTAAACGTCCATATCCTAACTATAGATTCCGCTGTGTTAGGATTTATTTCGATAAGTTCAATACTGTGCATGTTGTTTGACGTTCCTAATAGAACCCAACAACTGGTATAAGAGCCCAGGCTTAATGCAAACTCGTGCACAGTTTGAATTTTAGACTTTGCCTGTCTACATGAATTAGGTGAGTACAGAAGCAGCGACATAGTAGATTAAAAATTGCAATAAGTTTTTATAGGTGTTTCGAATCCGACTATTGTGGCCCGTATGTACGGATTTTGATTTATGTCGAATGATGCTGTTTTTAAAGCCTTGGACATGTCAAAGAATTTTTGGGTTGGTGAATGCTTGTAATAAATAATTTGCACGGTAGGACACCACATAGTTTATTGCTTTCATAGAAACTCATGTATGGCTCCTGCGTGGGTCATAGGATGATTATGTAATTGTTATTTATATTATTCTTTATTGATCCGGCGGGCGTGGACCAACCTTGACGGGGCGAGGCGATAAACACGTACACGGATGCCATGGTGATGATCCAATGGCGACTTTCCCGGAGACAACCAATTCAGTGGGAGTCACTGCGAAAGGGGAGTTCCAAGATTAAGTTCCTAGATTTAGTTAGTATTGGATTAGAATTAGGATTCCTAGGCCTAATGGAATAAGCTCATATTTAGCACCTCCTTAAGGTCCCTAATGGAGCCTATAAATACACCATGTCCCAACCTCTCCTACATGATGTCTTGGTCAATTTTTCTCCTCTACATACACGTGAGAAACAGCATCGTTCGAGAGTTAGGGAGATTCGATTAAACGCTCAACCAAGTTTAATCGATGTAGGTGTTTAGGTAATCCGTTAGAAGGCTTTTGGGTACAATTTATTCGAGCATATATATATATATATATATATATTTATTTTTTTTTCGGTCATCATCATCACTTCATCGCCGCCCATCGCCACCGTGATCCACCGCCGGAAAACACCCATCGCCGTCGGTCGCCGCCCAAGCCCAGCCACGCGCAGCGGAATGCTACCGCGAACAGCCGCGCATAGCCGAGCCTAGTCCGCGATGCCCAGCGACGTCTACAGTGTGTTCCCAGCGCCCAACAACCATCCGCGAGCTCCCAGCACTGCCTGCCTGCTCGCCGATCGCTCCAGCTGCCAGTCGTCCTGCCCGCGAGATCCCAACGCCCGTCCGCGATGCGCCTGCTATTCCTCGCACGCCTAGGAGAGCCGCATCACACGCCCACGTGATCCCGGACGCCAGCGCCTAGTCCGCGAAGGCCTAAGAGTCCCAGTGCACGTCTGCGATATGTACGCAAGCGCCCGTTCGCATCCCAACAGTCCCGCGCGTACGCCCAGCGCCCGATGCGCCCCGCCAGCGATCCGTACGTCACGCCAGTAGTCTGCGCACGCTGTCTGCGCCCGACGCGCACGATCGTCCGCTGCAACCCGACGACCGAGACCGAGCCACCGTGCGACCGAACCGCATTTGACGTGTCGATTAGAATCGACTAAAGGCCAAACCTATCCGCCCATTAGGTTGTGGTGTTCAGACGAACTTCATCAATGGTACTCTACATCGTCTCAGAGTCGGCAAAAATTTTAAAAGGTAAACGTCCATATCCTAACTATAGATTCCGTTGCGTTAGGATTTATTTCGATAAGTTCAATACTGTGCATGTTGCTTGACGTTCCTAACAGAACCCAACATGCTGACAATGCACCAGACCAAGAGAAAGAGGAGTATTCTCGGTGGAAAAAGGCTGATGAGATGGCGAAGTGTTACGTCTTGTTATCTTTGTCAAATGTACTTCAACATCAACATCAGTCTATGAACACTGCAGCGGACATGCTCCTCAATCTCAAGGAGTTATTTGGTCATCAGTCACGGGCTGCCCGACAAGAGGCCATGAGGGTTCTGATGAATATGACCATGCGCGAGGGCACTCCCGTAAGGGAACATGTTCTTGCTATGATGGCCCAGCTCAATGAGCTGGAGGTTCTTGGGGCATTTATTGATGGGGAAACCCAGGTTGATATAGTGCTCCAGTCTTTGTCGAAGAGCTTCGAACAATTTCGGTTGAATTATAACATGAATAAGATGTTGATGACTCTTCCGGAACTTGTTGCTGAACTTCAGTCGGTAGAGGGCCTGTTTTGTCAGATGACTCAAGCTATGGTAGCCCAGCGGGGAGAAGCTTCCACTTCTAAGGCTCCAAAGGGCAAGAAGAGGAAGACGTCTGCAGAAAAGGGCAAGGCGGTCATGAGTGACGCGCAACCTCGACAAAAAGCGAAGAAGCCAAAAGGCAAGTGCTACAATTGGCAGCAGAGAGGACACTGGAAGGCAAACTGCCCTCTTCCCAGGAAACCCGACAAAGGTACTCCTTTTGCTTTAGTTGTTGAAACATGTTTAGCGGTGTTATCTACCTGTACCTGGTGTGTAGATACAGGGGCCACTGATCATGTCTGCAATTGATTGCAGGGGTTCCAGGAAACCAAGCGACTTAGGGAAAGAGAAGTTACCATCTACTTGGGCGATGCTAGTAGAGCGTCAGTAGTTGCAGTGGGAGACGTCTATTTAGATTTTGGCTTAGATAGGTTTCTAGTTTTGAAGATTGTCTTTATGTTCCCAGTTTTAGAGAGAATTTAATTTCAGTTTCTAAGTTGTTTATGAACGGTTTTTTCGCTATGTTTGATAATAAAGTTGTTATTCGTTCTGGCAAAAAGTTCATATGTTCTGGCACATTAGTTGACAATCTATACATTCTAGAATCTAAGTCATCTCCACTGCAACAGAAACAATTACTTAATTCATCATCTAATCTGAATAAGAGAAAAAAACCTTCTAAAATGAATGAAACATATCTTTGGCATCTAAGACTTGGTCATATTAACCTTAGGAGGATTCAAAGGTTGGAAGCAGACGGGCCCTTGGGGTATGTAGAAGTCGAGGCTTTTCCAACTTGTGAGTCTTGCTTGGAAGGTAAAATGACTAAGAGGGTTTTTAGATAAATGGGCATAGAGCCGAAGATGTGTTAGGGCTAGTTCATTACGATCTATGTGGTCCTATGAGTATTCAAGCGAGAGGTGGTTTTGAGTACTTCGTTACGTTTATCGATGATTACTCAAGATATGGGTACATTTTCCTTCTGCACCGTAAGTCTGAATGCTTTGAGAAGTTCTTGGAGTAGAAGGCAGTTGTGGAGAAGCAGTTAGGAAAAAGTATCAAGTCATTACGATCAGATCGTGGTGGCGAATATCTCTCGAATGAATTTAGGAGCTACTTTACGGATAATGGGATTACATCCCAGCTGACTGCGCCTGGTACGCCTCAGCAGAATGGCGTAGCAGAACGGAGGAACAGGACTCTTATGGAAATGGTTAGGGCAATGATAAGTTATAGTAGTTTACCAGATTTGTTTTGGGGATATGCCCTAGAAACAGCGGTATATATTCTGAATAGAGTACCTTCTAAATCAGTACCGTCTACACCATTAGAGTTGTGGTCTGGAAATAAGCCTAGTCTAACACATCTCAGGATTTGGGGTAGTCCAGCACATGTGCTGAGAATCGATACTGATAAGTTGGAACCGTGATCAGAAGTAAGGCTATTTGTGTGATATTGTAAGGAAAGAAAGGTGGTCTATTTTATAGTCCCGAGGACCAGAAAGTAATCGTTAGCACGAATGCTAGGTTCTTGGAAGAAGACTATGTCTTAGATCATAAGACCAGTAGTAGACATGTTCTTGAGGAGTTAAAGGGACTGAGTACTTCGATACCAAGTGCAATAGATGTTACACCACAAAGTACTGCAACACGTATCGCTGATGATGCACCTGAGCAGGTAGTACCTCATCGTAGTGGGAGGGTTGTCCGGCAGCCCGAACGATTCATGGGTCTAGGAGAGTCTTCTGAGGCCGTCCCGGACGTTCTTGAATCCGACCCATAGACATACAATGAGGCACTCCAAGATCGGGACGCAGAGTCTTGGCAAAAGGCGATAAAATCTGAAATAGAGTCAATGGACACTAATCAGGTTTGGGATCTTGTAGAGCCACCCAGTGGCGTTCGCGCCATTGGATGGAAATTGGTCTATAAGAGAAAGAGAGGAGCAGATGGGAAGGTTGAGACCTTCAAAGCTAGGCTTGTTGCGAAATGGTACACTAAGAAAGAAGGGATCGATTATGAGGAAGCCTTTTCGCCGGTAGCCGTGCTCAAATCCATCATGATTCTCTTGGCTTTGGCCACTCATATGGATTATGAGATTTGGCAAATGGATGTTAAGACCGCTTTCCTTAACGGGAATTTGGACGAGGACATCTATATGCAGCAACCAGAAGGATTCATTGCAAAGGGCCAAGAGCATCTGGTCTGCAAGCTGAAGAGGTCCATTTATGGGCTAAAGCAGGCTTCGAGGTCTTGGAACATCCATTTTGACGAGGTTGTCCAATCGTATGGATTTACCCAATGTCCGGATGAGCATTGTGTGTACAAGAAAAGTGATGGAAACGTGGTGGTGTTTCTAGTGCTGTACGTGGATGATATTCTTCTCATTGGAAATAGTGTGAAGATGTTATCAGACGTAAAGGTATAGTTATCCAAGCAGTTTGATATGAAGGATTTGGGTGAAGTAGGACATGTTCTCAGAATCAAGGTCATTTGCGACCGAGAGAAGAGAAAGTGGTGCCTATCCCAATCCACATACGTAGACACTGTCCTAAAGCATTTCAACATGCAGGATTCCAAGAAAGGGGATTTACCCTTTCGGCATGGAATACCTCTATCTAAGAGGATGTCCCAAAAGACGCCTCAAGAGATAGAGGACATGAAGGCAGTTCCTTATGCATCGACAGTAGGAAGCCTCATGTATGCTATGTTGTGCATGCGACCTAATATTTGTTATGCCGTGGGCATGGTAGCAAGATATCAGAGTAATCCAGGACCGTAACATTGGTCTACGATAAATCATATACTCAAGTACATACGTAGGACTAAGGAGTACATGTTGATTTACCAGGCAGATGAATTGCTTCCGTTGGGTTACACCGATTCTGACTTCCAGGCAGACTGAGACGAAAGTAAGTCAATCTCAGGGTTTGTGTTTACTTTAGGAGGAGCCATAGTATGGAGGAGTGTCAAGCAGAAATGCGTGGCGGACTCAACCATGGAGGCTGAGTATGAAGCAGCCTCAGAGGCAAATTCAAAGGAGCCACGGTGTTACCGAGTTTGCCCGCTGCAATCACAGTGTTCTGTGATAACAGCGGAGCAGTAGCAAATTCGAAGGAGACACGGACTCATAAAGCGAGTAAACACATAGAGCGTAAGTACCACCCGATACGAGAAATCGTTGGACGAGGAGAAGTCATTGTTGCCAAGTAGGGCGACATAGTAGACTAGTCTTTGAGAATTAGGTTGAAAGAAATTGTGGTTATTTTGTTTAGCCATGAGCTTATAAAGAATAAGTGGAAGATTCTTAGAGGTATGCTGTAAAAACTATGTTTTGTAGATTCTATCAATTCCATTTTGATCTGGAAATCATGTTTCGGTCAAAGTACATATGTTTGCAGTTTATTTATTTATGCAATACATACTGCATGTCTTATATTGAGGTAGTGTGGTTTGAAGAGTTTCGAACAGAAAGATCACCTATCGGTTCCTTATAAAACTAAACTATTTGTTCACAGTCTAGACTGGCAGTGAGACCCCACTTGGAAAAAGACTGTAGTGTATTCTTGATTCAGTTGGTCTTTGACTGAAGGATTACACTAGCACTTATGTTAAGTCTTGAACATGACCACGGAAGGATAAGGATATGAGACTCACTGACCGTTGTCGTCACCTAGACCTTCAGTGATTGATGCGTTCTCTTAAGCTGTAAGATAATATAAAATAGGCATATATTT